CCAGGGCGAGATGCGGCTCACGTCGAAGTCGGGCATCTCGTAGTAAACGTTCACCCACTCCTGGTCCTCGGCCACCACCGTGCTCTGAGGGTTCGCAGCGTGGTGTGCTCCAGGCGGCACAGGATGTCCTGGGGATGATCAGGGGACGGTCAGGGGACACTGGGGACAGTCAGGGGACAATGGGGATGGTCAGGGGACATTGGGGACAGTCAGGGGACATGGCGAGTGTGGTGTGCTCCAGGTGGCACAGGATGTCCTGGGGACATTGGGGACAGTCAGGGGACACTGGGGACAGTCAGGGGACATTGGGGATGGTCAGGGGACATGGGGGACAATCAGAGGACACTGGGGACATTGGGGACAGGGAGGGGACACTGGGACAGTCAGAGGACACTGAGGGCAGTCAGGGGACACTGGGGACAGTCAGGGGACACTGGGGACATTGGGACAGTCAGGGGACAGTTAGGGGACATTGGGGACAATCAGGGGACATGGGGAGCACGGTGTGCTCCAGGCGGCACAGGATGTCCTGGGGACAATGGGGACGGTCAGGGGACACTGGGGATGGTCAGGGGACATTGGGACAGTCAGGGGACACTGGGACAGTGAGGGGACATGGGGACAGTCAAGGGACATGGGGACAGTGGTGTGCTCCAGGCGGCACAGGATGTCCTGGGGACATTGGGGATGGTCAGAGGACACTGGGGACAGTCAGGGGACACTGGGACAGTCAGAGGACACTGAGGGCAGTCAGGGGACAGTTAGGGGACAGTCAGGGGACAGTTAGGGGACATTGGGGACAGTCAGGGGACACTGCGGACATTGGGACAGTCAGGGGACACTGGGGACATTGGGGACAGTGAGGGGACATTGGGGACAGTGAGGGGACAATGGGGACAGTCAGGGGACAATGCGGACAATCAAGGGACAATGGGGACAGTCACAAGACACGGAGACACAGAGGTGACACCAACCCACAGAGCCACCACAGAGTTGTGAGGACAAAGACGAGACACAACCCCACAGGACCACCACGCCAGAACCCCCCAACCCCTTCCATCTCCCAGGTGTCCCCGAGGTGTCCCCGAGGTGTCCCCAGGTGCCACCTTGGCGCGCTCGGCGTCGCGGGCGCTCTGGCCCAGCAGGAACACGGTCAGGGAGGGAGTTTTGGGTTTCTTGGAGATGTTGATGAGCTCCTTGAGGCGGGGCACGCCCAGGGTGACGTTCTTGGCCGACACCCCCGCGTAGTGGAAGGTGTTGAGCGTCATCTGAGTGGCCGGCTCGCCCAGGGACTGCGCGGCCAGA